AGGTGGGGGGTAAGAAACTAACAGGGGGGGAAGAAACTAACAGGGAGGGGGGAAAGAAACTAACAGGGAACTAACAGGGAGGGGGGGAGACATTGACAGGGAGGGGAATTGACGGGGAGAGAGAAATTGACAGGGAGGGGGGAGTGACAGGGGAGGGAGGGGGAATGAGAGTAACAAGGGAGGGGGGGAGAAGAGAGTGACAAGGGAGGGGGGAGAGATTGACATCCATCACACACACACACACACACAATCACACACAATGCACCCCTTACACACAAAGACAATGAACCCCTTGCACACAGAAAAACACACAATGCATTACACACACAATGCATTACACACACACACGCAATGCAACCCTTACACACAATGCATCCCTTACACACACAGAAACACACAATGCATTCCTTACACACACTCAATGCACCCCTTAAACACACTCAAAGCACCCCTTAAACACACTCAAAGCACCCCTTACAGACTCACACACTTCATCCCTTACATACACAGAAACACACCTTGCAGCCCTTACACATACAAACACAGATTCACACAATGCATTCCTTACACACAAATCAGGACATCCCCTACACACTCCACCCCTGTGAACAAACTCATTGGTGGAACATGAAGGTGGACCCTGGGACCCAGACCTTGAGCTGTGTAAAGGGCCCCCAAAAAATGGAGCTGCTTCTCGTTCTCCCAGAACATTGATTTTTGTGACCACAGTTATAAACAGCCTCCAGAGATCCTGTTATACACCAGACCAGTGTATACTTTGTTACTTTGACATGACAAAAAAAGAGCAATGTATGTTGATTTATCACCTGAATGGGGGGCGTAACACCAAGTGAACAAATTCACTATGAATTATAAACTTAAAATGCGATTTTCAGGAGACATGGGAAATAGTCTATTATATCCCTATAGGAGTGGGCACCTTGAAGGGGGCTAAGTTGATACTAAGGAGTAATGTACCCTTATTTGAAGAATGAATTATACAATTAACTAAACTTTGTTTTTACTAAATACATAAGATAAATTGTAAATAAAAAAGGAAAACCAAACTATGTGCATAAGTAATAAATAAAAACAGATAGATTCCTAATGGCTACACAGTAAAAGCCTGGCAGGTAGTGGCCGATCTGCTAAATAGTGCCTTATGGTGATAAACAAAACAATCGCTCAGTCTAAAACGGGTACTGTTTATCCCTAGAGAATCAGGCTGAGCTGAGTAAACATACAAATACAATCGGACTCTACACAGGGGACCATCTATTCCATTGGCATCAATGAAAGAGTATGGATAATGGAAATAGTATACCAATAGCACCCTAGGGGTCCTGACAAGCTCTACACTTAGCCACTGTATTAGGAGTTAGCATGCATTCATATTCTAGCTGCTTTATAATAAGCGGTCTGCTGTATCATTAGCGTTAACGCTTCGTCTTTGGTGAAAACTAACGTCCTGATTTGTTCTGGTAAGACAAATACAGGTATTATATCCAGTTCCCTTCGTCTGTTACCAGGAAGTGTAGGGGGGAGGTATATCTCTGTTCCAATATGTAGTGGCATAGGCTTTTTGGATAAGGGGTGCCCTCATAAGGCACAGATTTATCATAGGCTATTCACTATCCGAAGCATTCACTTTTTGTGACCATTGTACCTGGTATATGTCTAAGCAATAATTATTATTGTTACAAAATCTATGACGAAGATACAATGTTTACTTAACACTTGAGACATGCTAACCATACTCATCTCGCCCTACGAGGTGTTTCATACAGCTGGATATATAGAGTGATCATCCTCATGGTTATAATTTTTTTACTTGGCTATATGTTTTATGGGGGTATCCTCTCCTGAGCACAGCTATTGGTATACTGCAACGAATGCAGAGTGTACAGTGAACACAGTGTGCGTGTTTGTGTAGGGGATGTAACATGTCTTTGAGTAGTGGATGTAGTGTTTGTATTAGATGCAGTGAGTGAAGTGAATATAGTGACTGTATAGCGAATACAGAGTGTGTTTTTGTGAAGTGGATGTAGCGTTTGTGTGTATTAGATGTAGTGTGTTAAGTGAATGTAGAGTGTGTGTTTGTGTAGTGGATAATGCAGTGTCTGTGTGTATTACATGAAGTGTGTGTAGTGGATGTAGTGTGTGTATCTGTGTGTAGTGGATGTAGTGTATGTGTGTATTAGAGGCAGTGTGTGTGTATAGTGAATGCAGAGTGTTTGTATGTGTAGTGGATGTAGTGTGTGTATATATTAGATGCAGTGTCTGTGTATAGTGAATGTAGAGTGTGTGTGTGTAGTGGATAATGTCTGTACAGTGAATGCAGAGTGTGTGTCAGGTTAGTGTATGCAGAGGGTATGTGTGTAGTTTATGTGTGTATAGTGTGTAGTGTGTGTGTATAACAAAAGCAAAGTGTGTGTGTAGTGGATGTTGAGAATGTATAGTGAATGCAGAGACTGCATGTTAGTGTGGCGAATGCAGAGTGTGTGTTAGTGTAGTGAATGCAGAGTGTTTGTTAGTGTAGTGAAAGCAGAGTGTGTGTTAGTGTAGTGAATGCAAAGTGTGTTAGTGTAGAGGATTCAGAGTGTGTGTTAGTGTTGTGAATGCAGAGTGTTTGCTATTGTAGTGAAAGCAGAGTGTGTGCTAGTGCAGCAAAAGCAGAGTGTGTGTTAGTGTAGTGAAAGCAGAGTGTGTATTAGTGTAGAGAATGCAGAGTGTGTGTTAGTGTAGTGAATGCAGCATGTGTTAGTGTAGTGAAAGCAGAGTGTGTGTTAGTATAGTTAATGCAGAGTGTGTGTTAGTGTAGTGTATGCACAGTGTGTGTCAGTGCAGTGAAATCAGAGTGTGTGTCAGTGTAGTGGATGCAGACTGTGTGTCAGTGTAGAGGATGCAGAGTGTGTGTTAGTGTAGTGAATGCAGACTGTGTGTTAGTATAGTGAAAGTAGAGTGTGTGTTAGTGTAGTGAAAGCAGAGTGTGTGTCAGTGTGGTGAAAGAAGAGTGTGTGTCAGTGTAGTGAAAGCAGAGTGTGTTAGTGTAGTAAATGCAATGTGTGTTAGTGCAGTGAAAGCAGAGTGTGCTTATAGTTAATGCAGAGTGTGTGTTGGTGTAGTAAATGCAGTGTGTGTGTTAGTGTAGTGAAAGCAGAGTGTGTGTTAGTGTAGTGAAAGCAGTGTGTGTGTTAGTGTAGTGTATGCGAGTGTGTGTTAGTGTAGTGTATGCAATGTGTGTTAGTGTAGTGAAAGCAGTGTGTGTTAGTGTAATGTATGCAGAGTGTGTGTTAGTGTAGTGGATGCAGAGTGTGTTATTGTAGTGTATGCAGGTAGTGTAAATGTTGAGCAAACTAGGGGGGACAGTATTTTTTTTTTACATTTATGTTATTCTCCCCCTTCCTGCTTCTTACCTGGTCCAGGGAGGGGGTAGATACCATTCCCTGGTGGTCCAGTGGCATAGTGGGCCCCCGGCTTTCTCTATACCGCAGAGGGGGCCCAGCACACTCTGTCTGCTCAATAAAGCTCCTCTCGCAAAGTGTTGTGGGCATAGCACTGGATAGCCATAGGTCTCATGAGACTTAGAGAGAGGAGCTGTATTGAGCAGAGGGAGTGTGCTGGGCCCCCTCTGCGGTATAGAGAAAGCCGGGGGCCCCACTATGCCACTGGACCACGAGGGAATGGTATCTCCCCCCTCCCTGGACCAGGTAAGAAGCAGGAAGGGGGAGAATAACATAAATGGAAAAAAAAAATACTGTCCCCCCTAGTTTGCTCAACATTTACACTACCTGCATACACTACAATAACACACTCTGGGGGGGCACTGCTACACATATATATATATATATATATATATATATATATCAATAGTCACTATATATATTTGTGCACAGGAGGGCCGGGCCCGTGACAACCATCATGCTTGTGACCCACTGATGGCGGCCCTGATTGTGTGTATTTGACTGTGTGTATGACTG